CCATTGTGTTTCTAAGCAGTCCAAGTCATTTTGGTTATTTGCCATGCATGTTGGCTGTATTTAAATAAATAGTGGTACTACAGTGAGAAAATTAAAATTACTCCTGTGTATGTTGCAAAAATAATCCTGAAGGTTGAATATATTATCATTTTGTCTTCAAGTAATATATGCAATTGAATAATAGACCCTTTTATGAAGGGCTTGCATTATAAATACCAAAAAATACAGAAGCTATGTGTATAATCTCAGTCTCCAGCTGGGATGCTAGAAAATGGAGGTGTAATGAATCTGTAATACTTGTGTGAGAAATCAGCAGAGTAGACTTGGTGCCTGTGAGGACTGGAATAAGCAGACGAATAATGTTGATGTATATAGAGGTGTAATTTTCTGAATGAAAGTATGTTTTGCTTTCCCTTGAAGGCAGGATCCAGCCTAGAATTTCCTTCTGGATTAGTCCCAGAAGATGTTGACCTGGAAGAAGGTACAGGTTCTTATCCCTCCGAACCCATGCTGTGCAGTGAAGCCGCTGATGGTGAAATACCACATTCCTTGGAGATGCTCTACCTTTCTGCTGAGTGTACCAGTGCCACTGATGCCTTGATCGTTCTAGTACATCTTCTCATGATGGAGACAGGCTATGTACCTCAGGTAGGTGCACAACCAATCGGGAAATTTCTTGGTCAGTGTGAGAAAGCTGTGAAATATCGTGGGAATGTGTGATACAAGGTGCATGTGAAGATCCATTTCTGGCTTTGTATATGTCAGTCAGCAGCAGGGGCAACTGAAGTATCAGCTTCTCTAATTTGCTTGACCAGTAAGCCATAAGGCTAAAGACTGGAGAAGCTTTTAGGTGTGAGAGAAGAGGCCTGCCTCTGTGTTCGTTTTAGTCCCCAGCCTCAGTGGGACCCAGCTGATAACCTCCTGTTTCTGCTTTATACCATTGAGCTTGCGTAGATGTGCTTAGATGTAGCACTTCAAAGAAGTCCTGCCTTAAACATCAGTATCATCTCACAGAATCATTAGGTTGGAAAAGACCTTTAAGTTGATCAAGTCCAGCCATCAACCCAACACCACCATGCCCACTAAACCATATCCTGAAGTGTCATGTCTACACGTTTTTTGAACACCTTCAGTGATGGTGACTCCACCACCTCCCTGGGCAGCCTGTTCCAATGCTTGACCACTCTCTCAGTGAAGAAATTTTTCCTAATATCTAGTCTAAACCTCCCCTGGTGCAACTTGAGGCCATTTCCTCTCGTTCTATAGCTAGTTACTTGGGAGAAGAGACCAACACCCACGTTGCCACAACCCCCTTTCAGGTAGTTGTAGATAGTGATAAGGTCTCCCCTCAGCCTCCTCTTCTCCAGACTGAACAACCCCAGTTCCTTCAGCTGCTCCTTGTAAGACTTGTTCTCCAGACACCTCACCAGCTTTGTTGCACTTCTTTGGACACGCTCCAGCACCTCAACATCCTTCTTGTAGTGAGGGGCCCAAAACAACACAGTATTTGAGGTCTGGCCTCACCAGTGCCGAGTACCGAGGTACAATCACTTCCCTGCTCCTGCTGGCCA